CTTAATTTTTCTTTTTTCGAATATATTGTCTTTTCTTGTTTTCAAAGAAACTTTTTCCAACTTACCTGATATTAGAAAGAAATGCTTTCTAAAGAATTAGACTAGAAGTCGTTATTTTTAAAAAAGGTATTAACAAAGTTCAAAAGGTGACCCAACCTTGACTTTAATTTTTCCCATTTCGAATATATTGTCTTTTCTGGTTTTCAAAGAAACTATTTTGAACTTACCTGTATAGAAAGAAATGCTTTCTAAATAATTTGACTACAAGTCGTTACTTTCAACAAAGTTAAAGTTTAAAAGGTGGTCCAACCTTGACTTTAATTTTTGCCATTTGAATATTTTGTCTTTTCTTGTTTTCAGAAGAAACCTTTTTAACTTACCTGTTATTGGAAAAAAATGCTTTCCAATTAATTTGTCTGGAAGTCGTTATATTTTTAACAAAGTTAAAGTTTAAAAGTTGGTCCAACCTTGACTTTAATTTTTGTCGTTTCGAATATATTGTCTTTTCTGGTTTTCAAAGAATCCTGTCTTAATTTACCTGTAGAAAAAAAATTTAAGAAATTTAAAAAAATGTCCAAATTAAAGATAAAGGGAATGATGTAAAATCCAATACATACCTCTGAGAAAGTTCATTGCCGCAGGAACCGCGTCCAGTGTAAATTTTCTTTGGTTGTGTGTACAGCAGCTTACCATTTATGGAGATAGTGCAATGCCAATTTATTAGTGGTGCTCTTAGCCTTAGTTAAACGGGTCTCTCTTTTCTCGTGTCCCGTGCTATATCCATAAAGGGAGTCCCTTTAAAGAGACTCTCTGACTTCGTGAGTGTCTTAACAAAGTGGAGCAACCGGCTAACATTGCGGAGGTCTTCTTGAATTTTTACCTTCCTTCTTTTCCTTCTTTTTTTTTGTTTTTCTCATGATTTCCCCCCTCCTTGACCCTGTGAATCCTCTTTTTATCACCCCCCACCCTCTTCTCTCTCTCTTCTTCTTCACAAAACTTCATCATTTCAAAACTAACGAGCTACTTTCTCAAGAATACTTCAATATACATTCTTCATATATATGAAGGTATTAATATTATTTTCCCCGAAAAATTTCATTTTATTAGTACGTGTAAACTTTATGTGATGATCTCAGGGCAATAATTCTCTTATGAATCATGTCTTGTGAATCTTATGAACCTGAAAGAAATGTCGACTCTGTAGTGGATTTTTTATATTTTTACATTCTTATTTTTTTCTTAATTTTTGATTTCCTTTTATAATTGCGCCTTCATTCTCTTTTTGAAAGAAAGAGAAATAATGTATTGCGGGATATGAATTTATTTGAAATTTCAAAGGAGAAGGAAAATTGAGATTAAATTACAGTTACGTAATAATAAAAAGAATAATAAAGCATAAGCTTTGGATAAAAATGAGGAGAGAAGGGTAAAAAAAAAATTGAGATACTTTTCGTGTATGTAATGTGTACCATAAAGTCATTCTTGTCTTGATGCTAATGTCAGCCACATCCTTACATGGACCTCTTACAAAGAAGACAACTCTCGATCGTGGGAGACTTGTTGATCGTCAATCAATCTTGAATCGTTTCGCCAAGAGCCAAGAAAGGGAAGAAGTCGAAAACTGTATAAAAATCATTAATCACTTTTAATTGTTTTGTTCAAAATCTTAAAATTTTTAAAACATTTGATTTTTGGGAAAAAATTTAGAAACTGAAATAAAAGCGGAAAAATTTGGAAATAGTTTGCAAAAATTTATAATCCGAGGCAGGGTTCAAGATATAAGGAAACATAGTCAGGGTTGGACCACCTTTCGAACTTTAACTTTTTAAAAAAAGTAACCACTTCTTGTCAAATTAATCCCAAAGGATTTTTTTAACAGGTAAGTAAAAAATATGTTCTTTGAAAACATGAAATGACAATATATTCGAAATGACAAAAATTAAAGTCTAGGTTGGACCATCTTTTGAACTTTTACTTTTTTCAAAAAATAAAGACTTGTAGTCAAATTAATTAGAAAGCATTTCTTTTTTAAAACATCAGGTAAGTTAAAATGGTTTCTTTGAAAACAAGAAAAGACAATACATTCGAAATGAGAAAAATAGTTAAGGTTGGACCACCTTTTGAACCCTGTTTATAACTTTTTTTTAATAACGGCTTCTTGTCAAATTAGTCCGAGAACAATTTACTATTATATTTTTTAATTTTTTTCTCATACTAGTTATAACCAATGTGTATTCATTGTAACCTCTCGAAAACTTTAAAAATTCATTTATATAGTTTACTTTCCACTTGAATTCAAAATGTTCACGGCTCATTCAGAAAAAAGGAGGAAAAAATTTCAGTGAATGAATTCTCGAGTGAGTATTTAAAGGATTCCTGATTCTTCACCTTTGGAATTTGGAATCTAGTCTAGACAACAGGAGTCAATTTCATAGAATTGTTCAAAAGGGCCGGGTCTATAATGAGGGAGTGAAGAATTGAAAAAAAAATCGTAGGAGGCTCGATTATCGCCCAGACAAAACCGTGTAAAGTAGTGTTTTAGGTCTTTAGGACACCTTTCGTCTCCTGCTGAGAGAATTCCACCTTCTTTTTGCTTAAATATCTATACATATAGATAAAGAAAAATAACTTCCAAACGTATATGTGTAAACTGATTCTCTGATCTTGTCGAGAGAATGAGAATAGTGGGAGAAGGTACTTTAAAACCGGCACTCGACGGCGCCAGCCCCACTGTGAGAACCCACTGACTTGTGTTTTTCATTTTTTTTTCTCTCCCTCTCTCTCTCTCTCTCTCTCTCTCTCTCTCTCTCTCTCCTTTTTCTTCTTCTGGGGTGAATTACATGTACCAGGAACGTTTCTGGAAAGACTTGAACCTCTATAAACATCATGCAATTCTAGAAATCCTACTCCTTCATTATTCAAAGTAAATTTTCACCAACATTTCCTCTTTTTTGTGTATATGTTGTATTGTTCATACGGTGAAGAATATTTTTTTCAATTGCAACTTTAAAAAATGTGCTTTTGTACTTTAAACAAGAACCCTATAGAATTTAGGTAAAATTATTAGTATTCTTTAGTATTGACTCTATTCTTTTATTAATTTTTATCATTTCAAATATATTGTCTTTTCATGTTTTCAAAAAATAACTTTTTTAACTTACCTGTTATTAAAAAAATACTTTCGAATTCATTTGACTAGAATTCGTCATTTTTTTCAAAAGTTAAAGTTTATAAGATGATCCAACCTTGACTATAATTTTTGCCATTTGAATATTTTGTCTTTTCTTGTTTTCAAAAATAACCCTTTTAACTTACCTGTTAATAGAAGCAATTGCTTTCTAATTAATTTGACTGAAAGTCGTTATTTAAAAAAAATTAAAGTTCAAAAGGTGGTCCAACCTTGACTTTAATTTTTCTTATTTCGAATATATTGTCTTTTCTTGTTTTTAAAAAATAACCTTTTAACTCACCTGTTATTAGAAAGAAATGCTTTCGAATTAATTTGACTATAGAAGTCTCTTAATTTTTCTTATTTCGAATAAATTTGTCTTTTCTGGTTTTCAAAGAAACTGTTCTTAACTTACCTGTTATTAGAAAAAAAATTTTTTCTAAATAATTTGACTAGAAGTCTTTATTTTTTGAAAAATATCAAAGTTTAAAAGGTGGTCTAACCTTGACTTTAATTTTTTTCGTTTCGAATATATTGTCTTTTCTGGTTTTCAAAGAAACTATTTTCAACTTACCTGTTATTAGAAAAAATGCTTTCGAATTAATTTGACTATAGAAGTCTTTTAATTTTTCTTATTTGGAATAAATTTGTCTTTTCTGGTTTTCAAAGAAACTGTTCTTAACTTACCTGTGATTAGAAAAAAATGCTTTCTAAATAATTTGACTAGAAGTCTTTATTTTTTGAAAAATATCAAAGTTTAAAAGGTGGTCCAACCTTGACTTTAATTTTTTTCGTTTCGAACATATTGTCTTTTCAAGTTTTCAAAAATACCTTTTTAACTTACCTGTTATTAAAGAAAAATACTTTCCAATTAATTTTATTAGAATTCGTCATTTTTTTCAAAATATAAAGTTTATATAAGATGGTCCAACCTTAACTTTAATTTTTGTCATTTTGTATATATATTGTCTTTTCTTGTTTTCAAAGAAACACTTCTTATTTTACCTGTTAATATTTCATTATCTGGAACAGAAAAACAAAACAATTTTGAAATGGTGCAACTTTTTTTTAATCGATTTTTATCTTAATCATTATTTATATTAGCCTTTATAATGTAACTATTATTTTTAGTGATGGAACAAAATTAACAAAACAAGTTTGAAATTGAACTAAAAGGAAATAAGTGGAGTAAAAAAGAGCTTTTGTTATATTCTTATATCGGATGTAATCTATCTCTATGACTCGAAACTAAATTCGCGTGGGTTTAAGTTTTTGATTCTCGTGAATACGATATAACCATTCGAGATTTTTTTTTCCTTGGACATTGATTTCAATTAAGATAACAATGACAAAGCGATAAAAATGATAACGGCTGCAGGTAAAGCGAAATTAAGTTCGAAAATTTCCCGCTAGATTCCTCTAGTGTAGCTTATTCTAATTTCATCTAACTCTTGCCAGAAACTTAGAACTACGTCGGTTTTTCTTATTAAATTGATTCAAAAAATCAGTTTCAATCAATTTTTGAAAAAATTTAATATTAAGCAATATCAAATAATATTAAATTATATAATATTAAATAATATTAAATTATATAAAATAATATTAAATTATATAATATTAAATAATATTAAACCGAATTTATGTCATTAAAACCCTGACGTTAATTTTTTTTTTAAGTTTTAAAACTAACCGTTCTCCTAAGTTTCTTGCAAAGTTATAAAAGTGGGAATAAGCAACACTAGCGGAATCTAGTAGCAAATTTTGTAATCAAAATTCGTTTTACCATTTTTTTTTTTTAATAGACACTAAATGTTTGTTTTATTTGTTCTAGGTTTACCAGATCGAGTATGTGATACTGAAAGCGGCGAATTCCCCACGACCGTCAGCATGGATTCTGGAGAAATCACTGGATGGTGAAAATTTTCAACCCTGGCAATATTATGCGCCAAGTGACGCGGAATGTTGGACGAGGTACTCGGTGGCCCCTGTCGCTGGCAAACCTACATACACGAGGGACGACGAGGTCATATGCACGAGCTTTTACTCCAGGAAAACACCCATGGAAAATGGCGAGGTATTTCTTCAATTTTATAACTTTAATATAATTTCGTTTTTAAATTTTAAATACTGATGTTAAAACTTGAATTTTTAATATTCTAAAAGTTCAAACATTTAGTTTAGTAAACATAACCTAAAAAAATTTTTTTTTTTGGCAAGCTCTTTTTTATGTAACATACACATATATATAAGAAGCGTAAGTACGATACATAAAGATTTCCCTTCCTCGTCGAAGGAAAAAGTGTCTTTTTCTATACAGATTATAATTAAAAGTCGTTTGGACATGTTCGATTTCACACGAAAGAATAAAGAAACGGCTTGAAACGTGGATGAGAGACGAGACATGTTTGAGAAGAGATAAATGTGGAAAAGAGAGAGAGAGAGAGAAGAGCAATTGAACAAAGAGGAGGAGCCGATGACAAAAAAAAGGAGATCCCTACATTCCGGCCATTTACGGGTAGAATCGTTGGCCTTATAAGGAATCCTCACGTACTCGCCCTGAAAAGGGCAAAAAAAAAAAATAAACAACGAAAAAAAAAAATTTTTAAATCTTTGAAGAAAAAGGGAAAGACAAACGAAGGTCATAAGGATCTCCTTGAAGAGTAGAATCAATCTCTCGGGGGGGAGGAAGAGGAACCCTTAGAGGGATTTTTACTTAAATTTTGAATATTTTTATACCTACAATTTTAACCTAGAATTTTTACTTTCGCTGCCTTTCGACTACTTTTTCTTGCTTTTGCTTACTTTTACTAAATTTTAAATATTTTTACTTACTTTTTCCTACTATAACTGACTTTTGCCTACTTTTACCTACTATTACATATAGCATATACTTTTGCTTACTTTTACGTATTTGTTACTTACTTTTTTCTATTTTTGGTTACTATTACCTACTTTTGCCTGCTTTTACTTACTTTTACTCAATTTTTCCTATTTTTGCTTACTTTTGGCTACTTTTACTTACTTTTACCTACTGTTACTTACTTTTGCCTACTTTTACCTACTAATATTTACTTCTGCCTACTATTACCTACTTTTACTTAATTTGGCCTATTTTTACTTACTTTTGCATCCTTTTGACTACTTTTACTTACTTTTACCTACTGTTACTTACTTTTGCCTACTTTTACCTATTTTTACTTACTTTTCCCAACTTTTACATACTTCTACTAAATTTTGCCTAGTTTTGCTTCCTTTTGACTACTTTTTCCTATTATTGCTTACGTTTACTAAATTTTGACTGTTCTACTTACTTTTGCCTACTTTTACTCACTTTTGCCTACTTTTACTCACTTTTGACTACATTTACTTACTTTTTTTTCTACTTTTGCTAACTTTTACTAAATTTTGCCTATTTCTACTTACTTTTCCCTATTTTTACCTATTGTTACTCACTTTTACCCACATTTACTTACTTTTACTTATGCCCTTAGTTATTTATACAACTGTTACTTGCAATTTTCTATAATTTTAAAAAATGTGGTTTCCAAACAAAAAATTTATATTCATAAGTGCTTATATATGTGGCACAAGAAAAAAAAGTGAAAACGTGCAATTAAGTTGACAAGAGAAACAAATGATATATTAAACAGCTACCGCCCATTTTGGGTTTGTTTAAAGATTGTTAATTACCACGAAACGATAATTGAGCCGCGCGCGCGCGCGCTCATTGGTTTTGTTGAATGTTGTTTGTTAGAGTGTATACACAACACTGGAATGGAAGATAAATTACTTGTAAGCATTATAACCAACCGACTAGGGGCGCGCCATTCCAAAATACTCGGAATTGTTCCGTATTAGGTACCGCGTTCGCAATCCCTTTTATAGGTAAAATTTACAAAAAAAAATGATAAAATTCGCTTTCTTCTTATGGAAACGGGCTTATTGGTCCTTATTTTTTATTTTGAATGGAGATTTTGGTCCATTTTTTAAATTTCTTTTTAAATTAGCTCAGATTTAAAAAAAAACACCCTTTTATGTCCGTTAATCGTGTTTTCGATCCAAATTAGCTGAGATTTCTAAAAAAAAAACCTTTAAATAAGTTTTTCGTCAAAAGTTAGTTTGTTTTTTAGTTTTTCACCTCAAAAAAATTTGGCTTTTCGTGTCTGATTCAACAAGTTTTATTATATTTTCGAAGTTAAAAATAATTCTTTTTCTAGTTTTTGAGGTTATGTTGGACTTAGTAAAATTCTTTTTTTATAAAATTGTAAAGGATTTCTGTAGAATCTAATTATAAATATATATAAATTTTGCTACATAGATTCACACACATCTTGTTAATGGACGACCTGGGGCTGTAAATCACAGTGAATTAATCCAAAAATTCACGCAAGCGAGATTTGTGAGAATTCGCCTACAAAGTTTAAGACGTAATGGCGACACTATTGCCGATAAACGAAGGGCATTCTATTCAATCAAGGAAATTAATATCGGTGGACGTTGCATTTGTTCGGGTCACGCGTCGAGATGTCGTTTCAGCGTTCATCATGGGGTGAGTTTTTTTTCAATATAATTATATCAATTTTTTCATTTTAAACTTCAATTTTTAAAATTAACTTCAATATTCAAATTTAACTTCAATATTTAAACATAACTTCAATATTTAAAATTTGAACTTAAATTTCAAGTTAAATTTATATTTGAACTGAAATTTGAACTTAAACTTAATGTTGAAGTTAAATTTAAATTTTAACTTAGTTTTAAACTTAAATTTAAACCAAACTGTAAACTTCAATTTAAACCTACATTTGAATTTAAATTTCAACTCAGATTTCAATTTAAACTTAAATTTCAAACTAACTTTAAAAATTAAATTCAAACCTACATTTGAACTTAAATTAAAACTCAACCTTAGATTGAAACTTAAATTTAGTTTTTAAAATATTTATAAGTAACCCTATATATATATTTATTTATCTTCTTTCTCGAGAAGAAATTTTAATGACAAATTCGTCTAATAATTCGGCATTAGTTACATTATACTAATGTGGAAATTATTTTCGAATTACTCGGAAACGATTATTAGGAGGAAACTTATGACACAAAAGTATTCATAAACTTGTGCCTAAATCCGTTAAGCGGACCATTAACTTGTCGCGGTTGTGTGTCTCACCCGAAACAGTGTGCGACTAATGGCAAAATCCGCCGGAACATTTAGATCACAAAACAACTCGAAATTTGGCGCGAGTTCAGGAGCCTTTTTCCGAAATGCAAAAAAAAATTCTAATTAGTAATTAACATACTTAATAATTGGTAGTTATCCTTTAGAGGGCCGGTAAATTTGCACAGATTTTAGTAGTTACTAATAAGTAATTAACATACTAACTAATTAGTAATTATACCTTTCACTAGTTAGTAAGTATATTAATTACTATATAATAATTATATTACTTACTAATTAGAAAATATATTTTTTACTAATTAGGGGCCTCTTTAAACTACGTGACACTTTTTGGGGGATGGAGGGTTAAAATTTCCAAAAAAAATGGAGCTACGTAGTTTATTGGGGACCCCTTACAATTAGTAATTGTACTATTTACTAATTAGTAATTGTATTATTGGATATTATTTACTAATTAGAATAATTACTGGACTATAACCCCCCCCCCTTTCTTTGGTATTTATAACTATTTGAAAAATGAATTGAATTTCTTGATATATTTAAACAATTTGAATGTTTTGGTATCGTTATCGCAAAATAAGTTTTTTATGAAAGGCAAAATAACGGAATTCTAGTGACTAATGGCCGAGACGAGGAATTTTGCAACGATCCGCAACGACATAAACTTGAGAGTATGTAGGAAACTGTCACGTTTAAATCCAAGTTGCTTCAACTTTTAAGTTTTAAACATTTTAAGCCCCAAGGGATAAGACCGCAAGACACTTGGGTTGTAAGTTATAACCATATATGTTAAATGGATGACTACAAATGTCAGAAAAGATAGCGCGCGCGAACTCGCAGCTGCAAGTCACGTGGCGGGCAGAGAAAGTCCCCCAGACAATGCTGATTAAATACCATCACGTACAACCTTCATGCAATTTTTTGACACCCCCTATTTATTATTTCGCTTTTGAAAAAAAAAAATTTTTTGAAATTCTTCCGTTATTTTTTCTCTTCTCTGACAAGTGTAGAATCACTGTCAAGTATAGAATTCCTGTCAAATATATAGAATCTCTGTCAACAATATACTTGTTTTTTAAGAAAATTAAAACATGAATTATTGAAGCGAAATTTTTATATAAATACTAAATTTTTAAATAATTTGTCATGTGTTTAAATTTTTTTTATTATTTAATAATTATTATTATTACTCCATTGAAATTAAAATTTAAAAAAATTTTAAATTCAAATCTTTTAAAATTAAAAATTTTAATTATTTTCAAATTATTTAAAAAAATTTAATAAAATTCGCTGTAAGAATTCAATTATTTTTATAAATAATATTTTTATAATATTTATTATATTTCGAAAAAATTAATTATTTAAAACAATGTTTATGAAATTCAATTATGAAAAATTAAATTAATTTCAAAAGAAAGAAAATTTTTCACTGAAATTTAATATTTTTTAACATTTTACTAAACTTTATTACTGGATTTTAATTATTTTTAATACAATTTTACAGGAATATTTAAAGTTTCATGACAAAAATTTTTAAGAAATAATAAAATTTGAAGAGATTTTTAAATTGAATTGTTTGGAAATTATATTTCCTTTAAAAGTTTAATAATATTTGAATGTTTATTTTAAGAAAATTATAAATATATATTATTTTCATATAGAAATTATGAAAACTGTAAATAATTTTATTTGAAAAATTCTAAAATGTATTTAAATTTTGAAAGAATTCTAGTTTGACAGGGGTTTCAATGTGACATGGGACTGGTCCTTAATGCTATTTGAACCTCCCATTAGGATCGAAATTTTCGATCTTGGGTTATTTTTTCTCATGTATTTATTTTTCGGTTTTATTAAAACCATAGCTCAGATTTAAAAAAAAACACCTTTTTATACTTACCTTCTTATAACTGCTTAGTGTCGATCAGTAACTGTTTGGAAGTCCAATAGCTCCTGTTGAAATGCAACCAGACGTACCTGAAAAAAGTTCTTATTACTTTTTGCATGTGAAACTACAAATTATTATTAAACTTACCTTCCCGATTAGCATAATCGTTGCCATGTAAATTATGGGGTCGTTAACTTTGATATTTCTCTCCGGTTATTAAAGAGTGCGATGACACAAGTAAATAATTCCTTGAGCCTTCCTTATATATTAAGATGTTACTGCCGCGCCGCTTCTCTAGATCTAAAACAACGAAATAAAATCTTGTAAATTCAAATATGGTCATGTACAAAAAGTACAACTAGGTAGGCAATGAGTAGGCTAGGTGTTCGATAGCATGCGAAAAAGATTAAAATCTTGTCAGATTTTCACATTTCGAGAGTCAAGTTCGAATGTATACGTCTCCGATTAAATATATTATATATTTTGTCTGCGGAATTATTTTTATATTCGCATTTACCAGTTTTATAGTCATTGTATCTTGTTTTGCAATAACAGTTAATTCTCGTCTCTCCGATTTGTATAGATTGTTGAAGAACTTGGAGGGTTTGGAAAAATGTTTAACAGAACTAAAATATATTGGTTTTATTTATTTCTATTTTTACCGCGAGGAAAAAAATACCTACCTCTTCGTTTCGTGACAGACAGAAAACTACAATTTCGATACCAAAACGAACCAACAAAAATTCATTTACATTTTAGTGCCAAAGAAAAATTAAACAAGACTAAAAACTGTTTACGAAAGAAAAAAATGTTAAAAGGAAGAAAAATATTTACAAAAAAAACATTAATTTAATAACAATAAAATAATGGAAAATTACAATTTCAGCATCAAGATTGTGAGTGCGAACGACACACGTGCGGCGAGCAGTGCGAAAAATGTTGTCCAATGTACAATCAATTTGCATGGAAGTCGGGAAATTTTGGTAAAGGATTTCACTGTGAAAAATGTAATTGCCATGGCCACGCGACCTCCTGTCGATATGATGCCGAAGTGGAGGAGCAGAATCTTTCAATGGACGTTCGTGGAAAGTACAAGGGTGGAGGTGTCTGTCTAAACTGTACTGTAAGTATTTTCGTTAACTTTTTACTGTTTATTACTATTTTTGACTGTTTATTACTATTTTCTAGTATTTCTACTATTTTTTAGTATTTTTGACTATTTTCTAGTATTTTTACTATTTTCTAATATTTATTACTACTTTTTATTATTTTCGTCCTTTTTGACTGCCATTAGACATAACCTATAAAGTTGTCACCTGCTACAAACCGCAACGCGAGAGTTATTTATTTTTTCGATTCATTATTTTTTCACTGTCTTCAAACATAACCAATAAAATTTTCACCCACTACCCCTACTACAGACCGCAACATAAGATTTCATTTTAATTTTTTAAAATTAAATAAAAATTACATAAATTTTACTGACAATGCGAAAAAATTATGGAATTTTAGGTTATGTTTAATCAAAAGTATTTCAATAAAGATTAATTGCAAGGTGAGAGGGGTGAAAAACTATCATTAAACATAACCTAAAATTCTACAGTCTTTGACCCTTTTGTTTAAAGGAACGTCATATTTTTAAGATAATAGTGTAAATAATGATTATTTATGAATTTGTAATATTGGTAATTTTTTCAGGAACACACAACAGGAATAAATTGCGAGAAATGTGAGATGGGCTATTATAGACCCAGTGGGATTTTACCAGATGCTCTTGAACCCTGTGTACCCTGCGATTGTGATGCCATTGGAGGTACTGGTTATTGCATTCCGGATGATTCATTCTCGCACATGGGAAAGGCAAGTTTTTCATTTAATTTCAACACTAATAGTAATACATAATACAATTATATCGAAAAATTAATTAACAATAATAATAATAATAATAATAATAACAAACAACTAATAATAGAAATAATATAAAGAAAAGATAAAATAATAAAAAATAACAAGAAAAAATTCAGTAAGAGAAGCAGGCGTAACGTAACGGCCCCTAGGGGGAACCGTTAGGAACTACGGACAAACTCACGATTTTCGCTATTTAAAAAGAAATTTTACCATTTTTAGGGTTTCATGATCCAAGGTAAAATTTCTTTTTAAATTGAAAAATACAAGAAACTTTTTGTCATAAGAAATAGTTTAAATTTAAACTAAAAAAAATGTTTTCAAAACAAAAGTAAAGAGTGAAAATTTTGATAATTCTGAATGTTTCAGGTAGCAGGTACCTGCGAGTGCAAGAAAGGCTTTTCTGGCTTCAGATGTGATCAGTGCGCAACAGGTTATCGTCACTATCCAAATTGCTCGCCCTGTCCATGCGATGAAAGGGGGTCTTTGCTATCGGATAATTGCGAGGGCGATTGTATTTGCAAGACAAATGTTTCCGGCAAACATTGCGATCAATGTAAATTGGGATTTTTTGCTCTCGAAAAAAATAATATCAATGGATGTTCACCATGTTTTTGCTCTGGAATCGCTCAGGAATGCCATTCTGCGAAAATGACTTTCAAAACGGTATGTATATTTTTTAATCCAAATCTTTAATTAAATTTTTTTTTTATTCTATCAATTTTTCTATTTAGTTTTTTTAACTTTTCTGCAAAGTCTTTAATTTACAATTTTTCTATTTACAGTTTTTCAACTTTTCTTTGATGATAATGTTGATCGAGAATACGATCGATAAACATTTGACACGAACACTTAACACTGACACTTGAAACAAAAACACAAAAAAAGGTGTTTTTTTAGAATCTGAGCTATAATGATTTAAAAAACACCTCATCGACTGTACATTAAGAAAACTGTTTCTTAATTCTGAACTACTGCGAATCGCAAAAACGATCAAGAAATATATGGGATCAAAGTAGATTTTTCAGAGTTTTTTTTAAAATTCCAATTGTAAAATTTTATGCTTTTTAAGTTTTCTGTGACTTTTAGAAGCTGTAAATTTTTCAATTTTAAAAATTCTGTAAATTAAAAATTTTTTAATTTAAAATTTTCAAATTTTACATGTTTTAAATTTCACAATTTATATTTTTTAGATTCTACAATTTTGAAATTTCAGTTTTTCAATTTATATTTTCACAATTTTAAAAGTTCAATTTATATTTTTAGAAATTTTAAATTGAAACAACTTTTAAATTTTAATCTCGGGTGAATAATAATAAAAATATAGAATTTTGTCATTCAAAAAGAGAATTGAAATAAAATAGAGAATATGCAAAATTAAATATGAATAAAATGAAAAATAAAGAAAATAAAAAAAAGTAAATAAAAACTAAAGTAAGAAATTTTACAATTTTGAAATTTGAATAATTATATTTTTAAAAAAGTTTCAATTGAAACAACTTTCAAATTTTAGTTTCGGGTGAATAATAATAAAAATATATCATTTCGTCTTTGAAAAATTAAAATAAAATAGAGAATATGTAAAATTAAATAAAAATAGAGTAGGTGCAATAATAATATAGGAAATCGAAAAACTAGATAAAAAATAAAGTAAGAAATTTATAATTTTGAAATTTCAGTTCATGTTTTTAAAAATTTTTTAATTGAAACAATTTTTAAATTTTAGTCTGGGATGAATAATAATAAAACTATAACATTTCGTCACTCAAAAAGAGAATTAAAATAAAATAGAAAATATGCAAAAATAAATAAAAGTAGAGCAAAATGAAATGTAGAGAAAATAGGAAAAGTAAATAAACAATAAAGTAAGAATATAATGAAGGAAGAATGTAATAAAATAAAAATTAATAATAGATAAATTAATAATTAATAATAGAAGCAAAAAAGAAAAACAAAAGTCAAATTTTAACTAACATTTAAAAACTTAAAATTTTTCCCGTAATATTAAAATATTAACTTGAAAACTCAATTGTGAAATGGGGATGGAAAAAAATGAAAAATTACAAAAACGAGTTATGATATCATCATCATCTTCTTCTTTGCTTGGCCTGAAGCAATAAAGTGGACGATGCTTGATATCAATCTATATATATTTATCTTCCGTTGAATATCGAGTATGTGATTATGCTGTCGAGTGACAATATTTTTTTCTTATTTGAAAAGAAAACAGTCTCGTTACGATGAACAGAATCGATGAACACGTTGTAATATAAGTGCAAATGAAACGTTGATGACAAATATTGACAATTTAAAATTGTTTTAACATTCAAAATGTAAATTAATTTTTAAATGACACTTTTTCTTTTCAATATTTCCATTAATTGATGTTCCCTACATTTTTATTTGCATTTATATTTCATTTACCATTTGCATTCAGCTTTTTCATGTTTGTGTATTTAAATGAATTTAAAACTCGTTACAAATTCAATAAGCACAATTATTGCTATTGCTTTATATATTACGTTTATTTTTTTTACTTATTGCTTATTTTTTATTATTACTTATTTATTTATTATTTTTTTATTTATACCCATCCGTACAATAAGTTATTATTTTAATTATAATTATTTATTTTATTATTTATAATTAGAGAAATTAGAAATTATTATATTTAAAAAAGTAAAACCTAGTTTTACCTTTTTAGTTAAAAATATAAATAGTATTTTAAATCTTTTCGAAATTGATGTAGTAAATAATTAAATTAATATAATTTTTATATATATAATATAATATATAATATTTTTGTTACAGGTGTCAACAATGAACGATTGGCAAGTGAGCGATATCAGTGGTTCGAGAATTGTGAGTCCAACTCTTGATGTGGATCGCGGTTGGTTAACGATAGCGGCTTTTGAAGTTGATTACGAGAGTCCATTTTGGCTTGCGCCCAAAATTTACACCGGAAATCGTTTGTCCTCGTACGGGAGTAATTTCACATTTTCTGTCACTTGGGTTGTCATGCGTGGTGACACCAGCGGTGTTCCGACCATCCAACCGAATCTTCTACTTATCGTAAGTATGCAAAACGAAACAAGAAACTATACCATGCAATTTTTTTCATTTTAATTAATATGAAATATTTTTATTTCTTTTTTTTTTGGCAAATAGGGAAGAAATAAAATGAGAATCGCCTATGGAGAGGAAAGATACACTAATCAAGATGCTGTAATCACGGTTCCATTAATTGAACAAGGCTGGCATCACGTTCCTGATTTGATAAACGATTTGGACACAAGATCATGGACAATGGATTATAAAGAAAAAGCCGTGACGAAAAATGAAATGTTGAGCGTTTTGGCTGATGTGAAGTATATTTTAGTCAGGGCGCAGTATCACTCGGAACAAATTGAAGGAAGGTGAGAGAGAGTTTTGGATATTTAAATTTTTGAGTCATATTTGGCTTTAATTTTTTAGTTTATTCTTTTATCTTATTAATTTCTTTACTTTTTTTTGTTACATGAAAATACTAGACATGCATTTTTTAGAAAATTAAAAAATATTTAATGCAATTTTCAGTATAGTATCGGCTCAATTGCAAGTGGGAGAGATGACGAAGAATTTTGATGAAAAGGAAAGTCTGGTGGAAATTTGCAAGTGTCCGAAGGGATATACAGGATTGTCTTGTGAAAAATGCGAATGGGGTTACGTTAAGGCAAGTGGTAACGATTCGTACGAGGGAAGTCGACACGAATGTATAAAATGCGATTGCAATGGACATTCGTCTTCTTGTGATGCTTTAATTAGCGAATGTCATGTGAGTATATTCCCCTTTTATGTGATATATTTTTACTTGCACTATTAACAAACATAAATATCATACACTTCAAACAAAAACTAATTTTTTAATTTACAGTTTTTCAACTTTTTATGATAATGGTGTTGATCAAGAACATGATCAACAGAGAGTCAACACAAGCACTTACACAAACACTTGACACGAACACTTAACACTGACACTTGAAACAAACACGAACAGCAGAAACAAATAAAAGGTGTTTTTTTTAGAATCTGAGCTATAAAAGATTAAAAAACACCTCATCTACTGTATATTGAGAAAACTACTTCTTAAATCTGAACTAATGCGGATCGATCGCAAAATCGATCAAGAAACACGATAAAAACAGGGTCAAAATAGAGTCGAAGTAAATTTAGAAAGGATTCAATTTGATATCAAAGTTGTTTTAGAAATTTCTATTCTTTTAAAATTCCACAATTTTCTAGAATCATCATCATTGGAGATATAATTTTTCTTGAACTTTTAAACATTTTGAAATTAAAAGCAGATAAAAGAAGGTCCCTTTGCAATCTCTAAACGACTTCGCATAGTAACGACGGGTTGTCAAACTGCAGGGGCACGAAATTTTATATCTATAAATTTCTCTCTAATACATTAAATTAACTAAAGACAATATACTGTTAATTATTAATTTAAATATTAATTAATAATACTCTATTAATTAAGAATAATTTTTTATTTTTTTCTAGTTTTAGTATTATTTATTTAATAATATTATTTTTAGTTTTCGTAATTACTCAATTTTCCTTTTCATTAGTTAGCTTACTTTTAGTTTTTTTTAATTTAGTTCTAGTTTCAAAAGTTTACTTTTAGTTTTTATTATAGTTTTAGGTTTTTCATTTAGTTTACTTCTAGTTTCTTTAGTTTACTTTCAGTTTTTTATTTTATTTCTAGTTTCTTTAGTTTACTTTTAGTTTCTTTAGTTTAGTTTTAGATTTTTATGTAGATTGTTTTTAGTTTTTAGTTCAGTTCTAGTTGTTTAGTATGATTTTAGTTTTTTAATGTAATTTACTTTTAGTTTAATTCTAGTTTCTTTAGTTTTTTAGTTTATTTTTAATTTTTATGTAGTTTTAGTTTTTTAGTTTATTTCTAGTTTCTTTAATTTACTTTTAGTTTCATTAGATTAGTTTTAGTTGTTTATGTAGTTTACTTTTATTTTTCAGTTAAGTTCTATTTTTTTATTATAGTTTTAGTTTTTTAGTGTAGTTTGAGTTTTTTAATGTAGTTTACTTTTGGTTTTTTCTTTTTTAGTTTAATTCTAGTTCTTTAGTTTACTTTTAGTTTTTTAGTTAAGTTCTAGTTTTTTATGTATTTTACTTTTAGTTTTTAAGTTTAGTTCTAGTTTTAATTAGTTTACTTTTAGTGTTTTTATTATTGGTTTACTTTTTTAATTTAGTTTACTTCTAATCATTTATTATCAACTGTTTTTACTTTTTATTTTTTAGAAATGTGAACACAATACAGTTGGTCCAAGATGTGACAGATGTGCCCTAGGTTTTTATGGAGATGCAACTAAAGGAACTCCTGATGATTGTAAAAAATGCGCATGTCCTCTTTCCGCTCCTTCGAATAATTTTAGTCCTAATTGTCAACTCGAGGATCCTAGTGACTTTACTAGTGGTTACGTTTGCACCCAATGTCCCACTGGATACACAGGAGATCACTGCGAAAGGTAATTTTAAATACTTTTTCCTCAAATTTATAAATTTTTAATCCTATTTTTTTTCTTAAATTTATAAATCTTCAATCCTTCTTTTTTTAGTTAAAAAAAATTATAAATTTAAAATTTAAACAAAATTGTTTTCTTTTACAGTTGCGATGTTGGATATTATGGAAATCCACTAGTTCTCGGTGGTAGTTGTAAGCAGTGTCTTTGCGGTGGTGGTTCTTGCGATCAGGAAACGGGACGTTGCCTAGAGTGTATTGGTAATACGGAGGGTTGGAACTGCGAAAAGTGCAAAGCAGCACATTATGGTGAACCTGGGGAGCGAAATTGTATGCGTAAGTATGAGTTTTATTTGGGATCTGTTTGTACCTAGATAGTTTAGAGTTTTTGGAAAATTTTAAAATAATTAACCCTCTGCCTATGCTGACTAAATTTTTTGTATGTACCATAGATTTAAATATATAAAAAAGTAGTATGTACCTTACTTTTAAATATATAAAAGGAATATCTACCCTACTTTTAAATATTTTAAGTTAGTATGTACCTACCCTGCTTTAAAATTTTCAAAATTAGTATGTACTATACTTTTAAAACTTGAAAAGTAGTATGTACCCTACTTTTTAATATTTTAAGTTAGTATGTACCTACCCTACTTTTAAATATTCTAAGTTAGTATATACCTACCCTACTTTAAAATTTTAAAAATTAGTATATGTACCATAGTTTTAAATATAGAAAAATAACTATGTACCCTATACTTTTAAAAATTTAAAGATAGTATGTACCCTACTTTTAAATATTTAAAATTAGTATGTACCATAGTTTTAAATATAAAAAAAGGAGTATGTACTCTACTTTTAAATATTTAAAATTAATATTTATTATAGTTTTAAATATAGAAAGCCTATATTTAGGTTCCCCAGCAGTCAAAAGTTTAAAAAATGATAATACAAAAACAAATATGTTAAAATTCTTGTTTTCTAATGTTTCAGCCTGTAAGTGCGACCCTGTTGGTAGCAACTCCGATCTCTGTGATATGAAAACGGGCCAATGCTCCTGTAAATCCTTGTTCGATGGACGAGATTGCTCCTTTTGTATCGAGGGTCATGGAAACGTCACTGCCGGCTGCTTGGAGTGCGACTGCGATTTCGGCTCTATCGATGGACGCTGCGATGCAATAACAGGTGAATGCGACTGTAAACCCGGTGTCTCTGGAATCCGCTGCAATCAGTGTCAACCCGATCATTATGGACTATCCGAAATGGGCTGCACGAGTGAGTACTGCATTTTTAAATTTTCCTATTTTTTCCCTTTCTACTATTTTACTTTTTTCTTCAACTTTTTTACTTGGTAAATAGCAAAATGACTTTATATTCGAGAGTTCGAATTTATACATCCAAGATTCGTGGGAGAAAAAACGGATTGAACCTTAGTTGGTAAAAAAAGAAGAAGCGGTGAAATAAAGGCGGTATCGTTTACAGAGACAAAACTTACCTTTGAGGTACAACTGCTTATCACTCGATCGTTCCCCTTATCAAACGGGAATCGTTGTTGGAATCGACATACTCATGGTGTGTGTTTCTTAGAATTGAAAACCCGCCTTTTGCGCGCAAGACATCTCCAACTAACGAGTCGCCTTTACATTTACCCGCTCTCTTTATTTTTCACTGCCAATCTTCTTTATAGAGAAAAAAGAACCATTCTCCCCTCTATTTTCTCTCTTCTTTGTTTCTCCTAACATAAATTTCAATTTTTGTCTTCAATACTAAATTCCATTCAAAAAAAGGAATTTAGTATTCCGTTCAAAAAATGAAATTTAGAATTCCAATAGCTAGGAATTTAATATGAATATACTTTTCGAGGCTTCAGTAGTGTTTTGCCCATAAGTACTTTCAATAATTTCCGCAATGAATATATAATGGCATTAGAGAAATGATATTATTCATTTATTTATGAGAAATCGTGCATTTTGAAGTCAATAGAAGGAGAATCGTGAGGGGTTATACTAAAAGATGAGGTTCGCGTGAGACGGTAGGCATACTGCATTTAATGTCTCTTATAACTCATTTTCTCTAGGGATGTTGGAAGACTAAAAGGCCAAGGTCTTAACCACGGCGAATATCTTATCGATGCGATGCTAAATGCAGATAAATCTCCCCCTACTTGCGAGGATTATGATAACCATCCATTGCCCACGGGCAACAAAGTCTCTAACTCCTTTACTCCTTTTTCTTCATCTCTTTCCAAATTGATCGATATGGAATATTTTATTACAGATAAACCGCATGTGTATCAATAACTATATACTTTTTTGTGACCTCTACAATCAAATTTTCAATTTTTTAATTTACTGTGATTTGTCTGACCAATTTTCTGATCTGTGGCAAACCTATACATACTAATTCTGTTTTTTTGATTTTTTGAAATTTCTAAAAAATACACCTACTAGATGGAAATTCCCAATGTTTATACACTACAATCACGGTTGGAAATGAAGTATATGTAAAATATTTAAAGTTACTACGAACTAACATATATCCGTTCGTTCTCCATTGTTCTTTATTCTTTTTGCCATTTGCGGTTGAAGAGGACATCGCAAGGGGGGTACACAACACTCTTTTGGAATATATCCTTTTGTGTATATACTGGTACATACAGAATGCAGTATTGCATATTTCGCGGTACACACAACCACCCAATGAGTTTCGCGCGATCGCACTAGAAATTTTATAGGACCGGTATACACAAGACGCATTTATACTCCTGTATATAACTATAAGATTGCCCCAAGGGCCTTCGCGTTCAGCTTGCATGATTTATGCCGCGGCTTATGCCCAGGGATTTATGATCCCATCGCTATCCTTCTCTCTCTCTCTATCCGCGCACCATTTAGTTCACCATTATATTTTTGTCTAAAAAATGGACAAACCATTGCAATTTGGGTTTTGTTTTCAAAATTTTAGTCTTGGTTCTAAAAAATAGATGTTACAAAACTATTAAAATATTTTCTTCTCTTTGAAAGTCTGGCTCTACTTCCTTTTGTTGTTTCTGATTTTTTTCTTCGCTTCTACTTCTTTTGCTGTTGTTTTTCTTTTCCTCTTTCTTTCTTTTGTTCTTCTTCTTTTTTTTCAATTTCTAGATTTAGTATTATGCAAATTGTCTCGGAATTAATTTTGCATCTATGTTGGCTGTAAACTAGAGAACACATCTCGGTTAAACGATCGCGGGTGGCGAACTAAACGATTGTATCCGTAAGATAGCACGCTAATGGAGTTTTAATCCCTTGCTAACTAATTGCCAACGAGTACACATTTCCGTAGTTGGAATAAATTTAAATGTCACGGCTGATAAGCATCATCGTCGTCTTACAAAATTCCCTACAAGATTGAAGATCATTTAATTATTTTAACTTCTCTTTCTTTCTTTTTCTTTTCGAAAATCTCAATCCTCTATTACTGTATGCTATCCTCTCATGGTTGTCACAGGTCTGAAGAATCAAGAAAAAATAAAATTATTCCGGTAACCATAGTTTTTAAAAAGCAAACATCGATTTTCGAAGTGGTATTGGTACATGATCATTAATTTTTAAAAACCAAACGGAGATTTTTGAAGAGTTATGGATAGCCATAGTTTTTAAAAAAACCGAACGAGTGGTCTAGACTAAAGTTTAAAAATCAAACGGCGATTTTTGAAGTGTTATGGGTATTTAGCTACAGATTTTAAAAAAACCAAACAGATTTTTAAACTGGTACAAATGCTGCATTAAACGGTTCATTCACTAAAGTGTCTGTACGCCTACAACTTTCCCTTTCGCGTGGGCGAGGACCCCTATAACCCTATCGATAAAAAAATTCCCAGAGTTACGAGTTGTGATACTGTGTGTATATATACTAGAAGGTGTATAATAAATAGTGAAAGGTTTTTTGAAGAATTATCATTTTTTTAACGCAATTAATAGTTAGGGACTTGAGGGCAAAAATATGCAATAGTTACAATGTATTTTCAATTCGTTTCCTCTGGTTTTCATTCAGATTTACTAACTCCGAACTCGGAAAAGAGAAAAGAGGTTAATGACAGGTGTGAAGATAGAAGATATAATATTCTGAATGGCGCGTTTATATCTTTGTGAATGAAGAAAAATTCTTGAACTTGAGACTTCCACACTGGTTCTCCTTGAAGGAGAGAAAGAGAGACTATACATATACGTTTCTTTATGTGTTCAGCTGTTTGATGAACGATATATTAAAACTCCGCGTCCTACCCCTGGGGGTGTTCCCATGGAATACATTATTAAACTAATCTTCCTGATGATAAAAGTTGATTAATGTAGCCAGCGGTCATCCACTGTAATGGGCTGTTGATTTTCAAAACTCCCATGTTAGAAATCACCCCTTTCATCTCCATTCACTGGAACCTTACATATGAAACAATAGCGATGAGTTGAAAAAAGTACCAATTATTGGAAATATTGCATATCTTGGTTAGGGTTTCTTTAAAGGTAACTTTAGAGAACTTCAACTTCCTTAAACTACCTTTCCTTAAACTTTGCATGTTGTATCTATAAAATATGTGTTGTTAATTCTTGTTTAAAATCGGAAGCATATGATAAATTAGGACTGACGAAACTACCTATAACTTTATATACTGAACCTAATCCTATCTAAGGTCGTCAGTTCTTTTTTAAAATCGGACCCCTATGGTATACTTCCCAAACTGGTTAAAAAGTCAGATATACTTTGTAAACTAAAATCACAAATTAAATTGTTCTGTTTTTAAATTAAATTGACAATTAAATTGTCGGGTACTTTGGGGAGTACTAGTTTCAAAGGGGAGAGATCTTAAAAAAGAAGTAACTTCATATGTTGCACACCTGGCCTGACTTTATATTGTCAGTTCTTTAAAATCGGAACCCTAAGAAAGTAGGACTTAGGATCAAAATTTTGTATGTTGTATACCCTAAGCTAACTTTTTTGACCCTTTTAGAAAAAAGACTCCCAAGAACGACAAAAATAGTCAAAAAAGTCAAAATAGTACCCTAAGCTAACTTTTTTCACCCTTATATTAAAATAGTACCCCTAGAACGTCAAAAATAGTCAAAATAGTAAAAAGGAGTTAAAAATAGTCAATACAGTCAAAAATAGTAAAAGAAAAATAGCCAATATATTAAAAAATTGTAAAAAATAATCAAATTAGTGAAAATTTTTTTTTTTAAAGTTACTATAGCCAAATACAGTGAAAAATAGTCAAAGAAATAGTAAAAAAAATAGTAAAAAATTGGCAATATAGTAAAAAATATTCAAAAATAATGAATATTGTGAAAAGCAGTCAATATAATGAAATATAGTCAACAATAGTACAAAAATAGTCTATATATTAAAAATAGTCTAAAATTTTAGAAAATAGTCAATTTCATAAAAAAATAGTCATAAAATAGTCTATACAGTCAGAAATAGTAAAGAAAATAGTCAATATAGTAAAAAATAATCATGAAATAATCCATATTGTCAAAAATAGTATAAAATAGTAAAAAAAAATATTCAATATCGTCAAAATAGTAAAAAAAAAAGTAAAAATAGGAAATATAGTAAAAAACGGTTAAAAATCAATATTGTGGAAAATAGTATAAAAACAGTCAATATAGTACAAAATTAGTCAACATAGTCAAAAATAATCATAAAATAGTCCATATAATCAAAAATATTTAAAAAAAATTTTTTAAAATAGTCCATATCGTCAAAATAGTAAAAATCAGTCTAAAATAGTCTATAATAGTTAAAAAAAAAAAATAGTCTAGAGTAGTGGAAATTAGTCCATATAGTCAAAAATAGTCAATATAGGCAAAAAAAGTCAATACAGTAAAAAATATTAAAATCAAAATAGTCAATATAGTAAAAAATTGTCAAAAAGAATCAAGAAATAATAAAAAAAAAGTAAAAATAGGAAATATAGTAAAAAATGGTTAATGAAATCAATATTGTGAGAAAAAATAAAAAATAGTCAATATAGTCAAAAATAGTCAATACTGTCAAAAATAGTAAAAAAAAGGTCAATATAGAAAAAATGGTAAGAAATATTCAAATTAGTAAAAAATAATTTTATAAAGTCAATATAGTTAAATATAGTAAGAATAGTCAATAAATAGTGAAGGAATATGCAATATAGTTAATATTGTCAAAAATATAGTGTATCGATACTTTGACAACTTCTCGAAACGCTTCAAAAATCTCTACTCAATGGCATTCCTTGAATTAATAATGAAATTTTCAAATTAAAC